TAGAATAGAATAGAATAGAATAGAATAGAATAGAATAGAATAGAATAACAGAGTTGGAAGTGAGCTTGGAGTCCAACCCCCTCCAGAATAGAATAGAATAGAATGAATAGAATAGAATAGAATAGAATAGAATAGAATATTCTTTATTGGCCAAGTGTGATTGGGCACACAAGGAATTTGTCTCTGGTGCATACGCTCTCTACATGGGGCTCCCCCTGGGGTGCACCCGGAGGCTCCAGCTGGTCCAGAACGCGGCCGCGCGGGGGATTTTGGGGGCGACGAGGCGCTCCCACGTGACACCTCTCCTGCGCGAGCTGCACTGGCTCCCGGTGGTCTTCCGGGTGCGCTTCAAGGTGTTGGTGACCACCTTTAAAGCGCTCCATGGCTTAGGGACGGGGTACTTACGAGACCGCCTTCTGCCACCAATAGCCTCCCACCGGCCAGTACGCTCCCACAGAGTGGGCCTCCTCAGGGTGCTGTCCGCCAGACAATGTCGGCTGGTGACCCCCAGGGGGAGAGCCTTCTCTGTGGCGGCGCCCACCCTCTGGAACAACCTCCCCCCAGAGCTACGTACAATAACAGACCTCCGGATTTTTCGTCGGGCCCTAAAAACCCATTTATTTCAACTAGCTGGGCTGGCTTGAGTCAAATTTTAAACGGATTTTAAATTGGAATGTTTTAATTACGGCCAAAATTATTTAATTATTTTAAACAGATTTTAGATTTTGTATGTTTTGTATGTATGTCTTGTTTTTACTTTGGCTGTTCACCGCCCTGAGTCCTACATTGGAGAAGGGCGGTATAGAAATTTAAACAAATAAATAAATAAAATAAATAAATAAAACCAATAAAAAAAATAAAATAAAATAAAAAAGAAGAGATTGGACAACCACTTCTCTGGAATGGTATGGAGCCGTGATGGCGAACCTATGGCACGCATGCCACCGGTGTTTGGGCACGTGAGCGTTGCCCTAGCTCAGCTCCAGTGCGCATCTGCGTGCCGACCAGCTGTTTTTTGGGCCTTCTAGGCCCACCGGAAGTTGGGAAACGGGCCATTTCTGGCCTCTGGAGGACCCTTGGGGTGGGTGTGGGAGGCTGTTTTTGCCCTCCCCAGGCTCCAAGAAAGCCTCTGGTGAAGATGAAAAACGGGCCTACCAGGCCCACCAGTAACCTTTTTGCCATCGCGTGACAAAAGCAAGGGGAGCACGGGGGGGGGGGGGGGGTACCCGGCCATGGGGGGGGGGGGCGGGCCAGGGGAGCATTAAACTTTGCGTGTGGGCACTGGATCATAGGAAGAGCAAAAACACCACAATAGGCAGCTTTTTTTACAGGTCTACTCACCCGACGGTCATTGTGTTGGGAGTCGAGAGTCCGGATCCTTCCATGTGGAAAGTGACGTTGGTCAAAACCACAGGAAGGGGGTTCTTGAAGACGATCTGGACTTGAGTCTCTTGTCCAACGATGGCTGGGCCCAGCAGCTGTGGAGAAGAGAAGAAGCGGATGAGAGACAATGAAGGATAACGGCACCAAGTGGGTTGCGAACGGATCCTCCGGAGGCCGTAAAAGAGAACACAGGTAGCCCTGTATTCATTCAGCGACCGTTCGAAGCACTGAAAAATGTGATTTGTGCCTTATGACCAGTCCTCGCATTGACAACCGGGCCAGAATTCCCACAGTCGCGCAATCAAAATTCAGGCGCTTGGCAACCACCATGCATTCGCAATGGTTGCCGGGGTTACGCGATCGCCATTTTTGACCTTCCCAACTCGTGAAGCAAAAGCGAACGGGAGAAGCCAGATTCACTTAACAACCACATGATTCGCTTAACAAGCAAACGGGAGAAGCCAGATTCACTTAACAACCGCATGATTCGCTTAATAATGGCACTGCTTCGTGGAACAGCTGCGGCCAAATACATCATAAAATCGGCTGCGGCTGACTAAACCGCCGCCTTTTAGCAACCACAATTTGGCCCCAGTTGTTATGAGGAGAAGTCACTAAGTGAAACCGTGATAGTGTTTATGACCTTCCTTTAGCGTTCCTGGGCTTGACAGATCGGCAAAGGCCGTAAATACGAAGAGCGGCTGTGGAGTTTTTTTTTTCATTCGCAACAGTGACAAAAAGGGAACAAATGAAGAATGGTTGCAGGAATATTTCCCTAAGCAACATCTCCTGAGAATCCTAATCTCCTGGGCTCAGAAGATCTCACCAGCCTTGTCCAACCTAGTTTGTCGGACGTGGCTGGTGAGGACAGCCAAGAGTCCATGTCGTACCGTCATGGTGAGGTCCGGGGTGCGAAGACGGAAAGTGTGCTCCTTTGCGATGACCTGTCCGGTTTCGGTTACTTTCCCGGAGATGCTGAGCTTCATGGCTCCTTGGTCCACCAGATGGGGCTTGTACTCAGGATAGGAGATGACCATCGGAACCTGTTGAGCTGCGAGAAGGAAAGGAGACAAATGTGGGGTCAGATAAGCGGAGACCCTCAGGATAAACAAATACCAAGGTTTCCGTGTTTTGCCCAGCCCATTCTGCATCACGAACCCATTCCTTCCTGACAATTTACAAAGGAGGTGGCCCTTTGTTAGAAATAGCACAGCTCAAACAAGGAGCACAGTCACAATGTGCTTTACTGCTCAGCTATTTTAACTGTAACAGGAGATATATATACCATAGATCCAAACTTGCAAACATTGCCATCTATTGGCTGAATACTACCATAGCTCTCGCAAAAAGATACATTCCAACAATGAATTCCAACACCCTCAACCGCCTTGGGGGCCCTCCCAGTTTTGGCACCAGATGCCATGCCTCAGGCAGCCGGAGACGGTTACCTCCTCCTGCAGGAACCTGGACTTGCCGCTGCTCCTGTTTAAAATTGCTGCCGGTGACTCCCGTGTAATACATGACCGCCACAAAGAGGTTGAGAGAGACGTTGCGAGGCATGGAACTCCGGTTCTTCAGGATGACCCTCAAGGAAATGTCCTGTCCGGTGTAGGCCTCCTGGGTGTCGACCGTCACCGAGATGTCTTCTCCCCACTCTTTGTTGGTGTAGATGTGGGCCTTGGTGCCGTGCTTGGCGGCTGTTTCTACCGCTTTGCGCTCGGCTTCCGATCCTGCGGGGAGAAAGGATGGAGGATTCGAAAAGAGGCCCCTCTCCTCAATCCTCAAAGAGAGAGATCTGAAGAAGACCTTGAGGAAATACGCCGTTTTTAGGATAATCAGCAAATAGATGCTACCTGGGGTAGTCCTCAACTTACGACCACGATTAAAGTCCTCACCCAAACTTTCAACCCACAATTTCTGTTGTTCTGGTGAGACATTTGTTTAGTGAGTTTTGCCTTATTTTACGAGTGAGTGAATCACTGCAGTCGTGAAGTTAATGACATGGTCATTCAGGGAATCACGCTTCCCCTCTGACTTTGCTGATCAGAAGATCACAAAAAGGCATCACGTAACCCCAGGATCGCTACAACCGTCATAAAATATGAGTCGGTTGCCAGCATCTGAATTTTGAACTCATCACCATGGGGAAGTGTGAAAAACAGCGATCAGTTACTTTTTCCTTTGTAATTTCGAATGGTCCCTAAACGAGCCGCTATAAATCGAGGACTGCCTGTCCTTTTGTCACTACTGTGCCAATTCTTCTCCGCTCAACGTTCCCTTACCTTCGGGGTGCTTGTAAAGGCTGGTAATGTCTTGCCGCTGATGGGATCCCACGGCTTTGGTGCTGATGAGATGGCCGATGGCTTTTTCTTCTACGTAGACGATCTTGAAGCTGCCGTCCCCTTGGCGTTGCCAATACACCTTGTCGCTGTTCACCTGAGGAGACAAAGGGTCACCAATCCGCCCTTCCTGCCGATTTTTCTCCCCACCGGGCCTGAAGGACCGATCTCGACACCGAGCCTCCTCAGATCTGCTCGGCGCTAAAAGGAAGACCCACCTCGGCAAAGCAGAAGGAAGCGTCGTACTTCATGTAGACCAGACCGTTCTTGATGGCCTCCACGGAGCAGGGCCCGCAGCAGAAGATCCCTGTGGGAAAAGACGGGAGGTGAACGCGAGAAAGGAAATGGAGAAGAGTAGAATAACAGAGTTGGAAGGGATCTCGGAGGTCTTCTAGTCCAACCCCCTGCTCAGGCAGGAAACCCTACACCACTTCAGACAAATCCTCTTAAAAACATCCAGTGTGTTGGAGCATTTACAACTTCTGGAGGCACTTTCAATCTAGAACAGGGGTGTCAAACTCGATTTCATTGAGGGCCACATCAGGGTTGTGTTTGACCTCGGGGGGGGCGTGGCCAGGGGGCGTGGTCAGAGCTCAGTTTTCAGCTGCAACGGCCTCCTGCAGTCCTCTGTCAGCGAAAACGCTGACAGAGGGATTCACTTACTTTCCCCTACCGTGGGAAATCCCACCTACAGGTGGGATTCACTTACTTTCCCCTACCGGTTCGCAGATGTGAACGCTCCTTCCACGCATGTGCTTTGCTCCACCCACCTTCCACGCACGCGCTTTGTTCACACGTACACCTTCCATGCATGCGCACAGCCTCCAAAACGTGGCTAAATAGGATGGCATTACGTCCGGGCGTGTGTGCGAGGCCTACTGCAGTCGACACTACCAGTTCGCCTGAATTGATAGAACCCCACCACTACTGTGCCCCCTTGGCCATGCCGTCCCCCGGCCCTCAGGTTGGATCCGGCCTGTGGAGTGCTTAGATCTGGCCTGCGGGGCCGCCCTGGAAACACCGAAGGACTGGCCCGTGGTGCCTCTGCCAGCGAAAATGGAGCTCGGGAGGGCCGCAGGCAGGGGGTGTGGTCAGGAGGGCGCGAACCATCCAAACTCTGTTTTCGCTGGCAGAGGCACCACAGGCTGGTCCTTTGCCATTCCCAGGGTGGCCTCGCGGGCCAGTTCTAAGCACCCCGCGGGTCGAATTTGGCCCGCGGCCCGGGCCTTGAGTTTGATACCCCTGATCTAGAACTTTCTCAAGGGTTTCTAAAGTTGGAGAACCCATTTCACAAGAGATCTTTCTCACCAGCCCAAACTTACCACTGCTGGACTCCTGAGGGGTTGCGTCCACCACTTGCCACCCGTCGAACCCCGAAGGCAGATCCGGTCTCGTCATCCAGCAGTCGTTCCAGACATGGAAATTCCTGCATCCAAGGGAGGAAATTCAAGGGTTCAGTGCATAGTTGGAAGGGACCTCGGAGGTCTTCTAGTGCAACCCCCTGCTCATGCAGGAGACCCTATGCCAGGGGTCGGCAACCTGCGGCTCTGGAGCCGCACGTGGCTCTTTCACCCCTCTGTTGCGGCTCCCTGTTACTCAAAATATGCGTCACGACCACCAATGTGCGACATCTGCCAGCACGCGATTTATTGAGCTTTTCAACCCCCAGTTGAAAACCGTGGATAAATCCAAGAAAAGAGAAGTTTCGGAAGAAAATAGAATGTTTAATTCAAGTACATATGCTAGTTTTTATGGCCGCTCAAGAAATAGTCAGGGACGGGAAGGGTTTTGTGACTCCCGGTGTTTTCTTTTCTGTGGGAAACGGGTCCAAATGGCTCTTTGAGTGTTTAAGGTTGCAGACTGCTGCCCTATGCCATTTCAGAGAAACTGTTGTCAAGTCTTAATAATCTCCAGTGATGGAGCACCCACAACTTCTGGTGGCAAGCAGTTCCACTGATTAATTGTTCTCACTGATAGGAAATTTCTCCTTATTTCTAGGTTGCTTCTCTCCTTGGTTAGTTTCCGTCCGTTGCTTCTTCTCCTGCCTTCAGGAGAACAGGTTGACTCCTTATTTATGGAGATTCGCAGTCGTCGAGGTCATGGTTGTCCCAAAAGTGTTTTTTTCAAAAGGCAAGTGGGCTTCGTTTCTCCTTGAAGACATTTTGCTTCTCGTCCAAGAAGCTTCTTCTGTTCTGATGGAAGAAGTCAGAACCGCAGAAGCTTCTTGGATGAGAAGCGAGACGTCTTCAAAGAAAAACTAAGAAAGTTCAGTTACCTTTTGAAAAAAAACAAATTGGGACAGATTGATCCCATCTTCTCTGTGGCAGCCCCTCAAATATTGGAAGACTGCTATCATGTCATCTCTGGTCCATCAAGACATGTCCATCCATTCTTCGTGTGTCCCAAAGGTGCTTTTTCAGGAGGCAACTGGACTTTCTGGTTTTTCTTTGAAGACGTTTCGCTTCTCACCCGAGAGGTTTCTTCAGCTCTGACTGAATCCTTCCCTTCCACACCATCCAGTCAGAGCTGAAGAAGCTTCTCGGAGGAGAAGTGAAATGTCGTCAAGGAAAAACCAGAAAGTCCAGTAGCCTCTTGAAAAAGCACCTTTGCGGCAACCATGACCTGGATGACTGGGAATCTCCATAGACAGTCTTTATGTTTTAGCCTCCAGGCCCTTCATCATCTTAGTTGCTCTTCTATGCAGACTTGTCCTTCTCCTCACCACCCGAACACCCATGGAGGAGGGGGAGGAGGAGGAGGAGAGGGAGGAGGAGAATGAGAGGGAGGAGGAGGAGGAGAGGGAGGAGTCATAGTGAAAGTCATAGACATTCTTTGCATGTTTTAGCCTCCAGGCCCTTCATCATCTTAGTTGCTCTTCTCTGCAGACTTGTCCTTCTCCTCACCACCCGAACACCCATGGAGGAGGAGGAGAAGGAGGAGGAGAGGGGGAGGAGGAGTCATAGTGAAGGTCATAGACATTCTTTGTATGTTTTAGCCTCCAGGCCCTTCATCATATTAGTTGCTCTTCTCTGCAGACTTGTCCTTCTCCTCAACACCCGAACACCCATGGAGGAGGGGGAGGAGGAGGAGAACGAGAGGGAGGAGGAGAACGAGAGGGAGGAGGAGGAGTCATAGTGAAAGTCATAGACATTCTTCATATGTTCTAGCCTCCAGGCCTTTCATCATCTTAGTTGCTCTTCTCTGCAGACTTGTCCTTCTCCTCACCACCCGAACATCCATGGAGCAGGAGGAGAGGAGGAGAAGGAGGAGGAGAGGGAGGAGGAGGAGTCATAGTGAAAGTCATAGACATTCTTTGTATGTTTTAGCCTCCAGGCCCTTCATCATCTTAGTTGCTCTTCTCTGCAGACTTGTCCTTCTCCTCACCACCCGAACACCCATGGAGGAGGGGGATGAGGAGGAGGAGGAGGAGGAAGAGGAGGAGAGGGAGGAGGAGGAGTCATAGTCAAAGTCATAGACATTCTTCATATGTTTTAGCCTCCAGGCCCTTCATATCTTAGTTGCTCTTCTCTGCAGATTTGTCCTTCTCCTCACCACCCGAACACCCATGGAGGAGGGGAAGGAGGGGGAGGAGAGGGAGGAGGAGGAGTCATTATCAAAGTCATAGACATTCTTTATATGTTTTAGCCTCCAGGCCCTTCATCATCTTAGTTGCTCTTCTCTGCAGACTTGTCCTTCTCCTCACCACCTGAACACCCATGGAGGAGGGGAAGGAGGGGGAGGAGAGGGAGGAAGTGGAGGAGGAAAAGGAGGAGGGGGAAGAGAGGGAGGGAGGAGGAGGAGGTCTCGTGTCCTCACCACACAGAGTCGGCGTTGAGATGCTCCAGGGGCTTCATATTCTCATCAAAGTAGATGTCCATGGTGAGGCTGACGTCCGTGTCGTGCGCCGAGTTGTAATTGGTGACAGTCCGGGTGGCAATGCCCAGGCACCGCAGAACTGAGGAGGAAGTTGGACAGAGAGGAAGGGTATCAGCAGAGAGGCCTAGTGGTTCTTCTCGACAGGTATCCAAAAAGTTGGTGGGATTTTTTGAAGGTGATATTTGCTCTCCTGAATATTTGCAAAGATTCAGGATCGAGCAGCGAGGCTCATGCGAACCCATGTGTTTGGCCAGTAATGCAGGTTAGCCCTCGACTTACAACCATTCATTTCGCAAACGCTCAAAGTTACGACAGCATTGAAGAAAGTGACTTACAACAAATCCTCGCACTTACAATGGGGGCAGCGTCCACAGGCTCACACGATTCTAAACTTGGGCATTTGGCAACTGGCATGTATTTATAACGGGGTTATGTGATCTCCCTTTGTGACCGTCCCAATAATCTTCCGACAAGGAAAGTCAAAGCCGGATTCACTTAACGACATGTGATTCGCTTAACCAATCTCAGTGATTGGCTTTGCAACCGTGGGGGGGAAAGTCGTAAAATCGGAAGTGACGCGTTTCACAGCCGCTTGGCTTCAGATCAGATAGAAATTCCGGGGGCCGATTGCGGTAGTACGTCGAGGACTACCGTAGCTGTATCGTGGCTTGAGGTCGCACCACATGCAGCCTGTGCTCAAATGGAATCAGGAACCGTGTGATCCAGCACAACATGTGAACATCACATCCAGGAAGCCCTCGACTTACAACTACAGTTCATTTAGTGATCGTTCGAAGTGACGACGTCGCTGAAAAAAGTGACTTTAGGGCCGTTTTTCACATTTACGACCGTTGCAGGCATCCCGATTCGTATTTATGATGCCCAAGCAAAGTCAATGGGGAAAGTGGATTTGCTTAATAACCATGAATAATGGCAGCGGTTCACTTAATAACCGTGGCAAGAAAAGTCATAAAATGGGACAGAACGCAAATGTTTGACTCCGCAGTAGACATTTTGGGCTGGTTAAGGGGCGTGCTACCTGTAGTTGATTTATTCTGGCATCATTTGATGAGCGAAGAAAAATTTCCGGGAAGTCATAATCAGATGCATAAATGATCAGAACCGCCCAGGGTAATTAATGTATGCCATGTAAGCCCCGCCCCCTTAATGACATCACTGCATAAACTCTTTTAAAATTCCTGAGTTGTGATGTCGTGAAATCACACCTTCACACAGGTCATGTGAACTGAGCCTGCCTATTTTCTGCTGATCATCCGCAAGTATAGGTAATCCTCAATTTACGACCGTTCGTTTAGTGACCGCTTGAAGTTACGGCGGCACTGGAAAAAAAATGACTTAGGAGTTAGGACCGTTTTTTTTCACCCTTGATCAAAATTTAGATGCTTGGCCACCGACTCATATTTACGACGGTGGCTGCGGCCCGGGGTCAGTTGATGCCCCTTTTGCGACCTTCTGACCAGCAAAGCCAATGGGGAAGTCAGATCCACTTAACAACAGTGTTGCTAACTTCTCAAATGCGGTGATTCGCTTAACGATGGTGGCCAGAAAGGTCGTAGAACGAGGTCGTAACAAGTGTCTTGCTGAGCAAGGGGAATTTTGGGCTCAAGTGTGGTCGTAAGGCGTGGACTACCTCCGCTGGCTGGGAACGGACTGGCCTGCTTGTCGCCATCAAGAAATAATTAATAATTACTCTTTTTTTCCCCTCAGGATCTTTTAAAAGGAAAGATCAGGACCATGTTATAGCAGATAACAAAATTGGGAGGGACCTTGGGGGTCTTCTAGTCCAACCCCCTGCTTAAACAGAAGACCCTATACCAGTGATGGCTATCCTTTTTACTATTGTGTGCCAAAAGCAGCAGGAGCACATGTGCCCACACCCATAATTCAATGCGCCCCACCCCCTGTGCATGCGCACGTAATCCCCCCCGTGCTCCCCCCACTTTTGACACACGAGTGGGCCTGGTAGGCCCATTTTTCACCCTTCCCAGGCTCCAGAAGCTTTCTTGGCGCCTGGGAAGGGCGAAAACAGCCTTCCCCATTCCCTGGAGGGCCTCCAGAGGCCGGAAACGGCCCATTTCCCAATTTCCGGGGGGGTGGGGGGGCGAAGGCCCCAAAATCAGCTGGCCAGTGCACGCATGCATGCTAGAGCTGAGCTAGGGCAACGCTCTCACGCGTGCCCACAAATATGGCTCCGTGCGCCACCTGTGGCACGCGTGCCATAGGTTCGCCATCACGGCCCTATACAATTCCAGACAAATGTCCAATTTCTTCTTAAAAAATAGTAGCAGGAGGAGGAGGAGGAGAAGGAGGAGGGGGAGGAATAACAGAATAAAAGAGATGGAAGGGACCTTCGAGGTCTTCTAGTCCAGCCCCCTGTTCAAGCAGGAGACCCTACATCGTTTCAGAGAAACTTGGTTGTCCAATCTCTTCTTCAAAACCTCTCGGGATGAAGACACCCACAACGTCACAATCTACGGCCCCCTATCCCTGATGTTCTTGCTTCTTTTCTTTTCCGCAACCCTCCCCACGTCAACAGCGAACACCAGTTACCTGAGGTCACGACGCCCGCAAACACCCAGCACTGCCCGTAGAGGACGGGGTAACCGGTACGGAGGTACTTCAGCAGGATGTCTCGGCTGCCCACCCAGGCCGAAGGGTTGGTGCCGCGGGAGTAATCCCCCGTCCAGTTTCCGACGAGAACACCGTTGTCGTCTAGAGAGTTCACCTGGGAGGAAACGCAAACATTGTCATGAATCGAAACACGGCCACAACAATCTACAGTGTTGGGTTGTTGTTTTTTTAACAGCGGAGATTGCGGGTGGGCTCGCCCATCGGCCCCGGCGCTATTGTTCTGCCCCAGCTACGGACCCCAAAGAACGCAGCACACACAAACTCCGTTCAAACCTCAGTTTACTAAATAAACCAGTTTTTTACAACAACGGCTGTTAATTAACTGCATTAACAGCCGCCAAGAATTCAAAGAATAATACTGAAAGCTTACTGTGGTTGGCAGAATGCCCAGAAGCAATTTGCAGGAAGCTGATAAAATAAGCAAGACCAGACACGAAGGTATGTGAACTAAGTTGTTCCCTGCAAATTGCTTCAGTCGGTGTTCCTTCTTAAATAGGCTAAGGGAGTGGCCAATTAGCCCCATGCCTTACTCTCGAGGAGACCTCCTCCTGAGGAGCCACTCCTGCCTTTTGGCAGCTCTGCGCACCCGTGCATCGAGAAGAGTCTCCTCCTCTTCTTCCTCTTCACTTATGGGAGCTTCTGGAGGTTCTGAAGGCCCTGCATGAATCCCTGCCTCTGGCACCACATCTTCTCCAGCCTCCTCATTGTCCGACTCGAGGGCCAGCTGCACAGGCTACTGGCGCAGCACCACACCAGCCTCCTCGCTGTCTGAATCAGCTGCTAGCTGCACAGGCCGCGTACGGGCCACAACAGTTATGCTGTCCTATTTAGGCACATATTTGAGGCCGGGCGCATGTGGAGAAGGTGCGTGCTCATGCAAAGCTAGTGTGCGCCCGCGCGACGAACCGGCGGGAACAATATCTGAAACCCACCGCTGTTCTATTATCCAACCATTTGTAAAACAAGTCCCATGTTTGAAAATATTCTGTATCTTCTTTTTCTCTTATTTTTAGTGTCAATCTCTCCATTTCAGCCCAGTCTAATTTTTTTTAAAAATTACATCTTCTTCTGAAAGTGCTTCCTCATTTTTCCAGTATTATGCAAATACAATTCTTGCCGCTGTCAAAACATGTCATATTAAATATCAATTCCCTTTTTTATTATACTTTTCAGGTATAATACCTAACAAAAATATGTTTCTGGCTTACAATCTATGTGCCGCTTTAACGTTTTTTTTCTAACCGTGTATGCATTTTTGCCCAATATTGCTTTCCTTTTGTGCATGTCCACCACATGTGATAATATGTACTCGGTGTCTGGTTACATTTCCAACATCTGGCGGACATGTTTTTAAACATCTTTGCTAACCTGGCCGGTGGTAAATGCATCTACTGTGTTGGGGACCACGATTCTTATTTATATACAGCTGTACAGGTAGTCCTCGACTTACGACATTCGCTTAGGGACTGTTCGAAGTTACAACAGCCCTGAAAAATGTGACTTCGGACCACTTTTCAGACTTACGACCCTTGACCCATAGTCACGTGATTCACCGTACATGCGGACGCTTGGCAACTGACTCGTGTTTATCATGGTTTGCAGTGTCCCCAGGCTCACGGGATCCCCTTATGCGACCTTCTGACGAGCAAAGTCCATGGGGAAGCCGGATTCGCTTAACGACCAGGTGACTAATTCAAGAACTGCAGGGATTTGCTTAACAAAGGTGGCAAGAAAAGTCGTAACATGGGGCAAACTTGACTTAAGAAATGTCTCACTTAGCAACAGAAAAATTGGGCTGAATTATGGTCGTAAATCGAGGACAACCTGTATATAGTGTTTTTCAACCTCGGAGACTTAAAGACATGTGGACTTCAACTCCCAGAATTCCGCAGCCAGCAAAACAAAGACTTCTGGGAGTTGAAGTCCGCACGACTTCAAGTTGGCCAGGTTGAAAAATGGTATTTTAACCCATCTCTATAAAGCCATATTTATGGAGTTGGGTACTCCATCAAGCCTACCTCGAAGGGGTGACGTCCGCTTTAAAAGCCTGATGCTATATTCCCCTTCCCTCCCTATTATTATTTTTTTTCAGTTCAACTTATTTTATTCAATAAGAAAGCTAGAAAAATGTTTAAACAGAAATTGCAAAAGCTGGACAAACAATGGAAAACAAAAAGAGGCAGGAAGGAACCAATTTTTTAAAACTAAACTAAACTAAAGCGGAACAAAAAGAGGAAAAAGGAGAAGGAAGGAAGGTTAGTAAAGGTTAAAATGTTGTGTATCACTTATAGGTCATGTATTAAAACATTTCAGGGACTCCTTGACTTACGACGGCACTGAAAATAGTAACTTATGACCGGTCCTCGCACTTATAACTTGCAAGGTCCCTATAGTCACATGAGCAAAATTTGCACATTTGACAATCGATACATATTTATGACGGTTGTGGCATGATGGGGTCATGTGATTCCTCAGTTGTGACCTTCCTAAGCAATTTCTGACAGACAAAGTCAACAGGGACAGCCGGATTTGCTTAACGATTACCTGATTCATTTATTTTAACCACGGCAGTGATTCGCTTAACAACCCTGGGAAAAGGGGCGTGAAATCAAGCATGGCTCACTGAACGACCAAATTTCTGCTCTCCGTTCTGGTCATAAATCGAGGACTACCTGTCCGTTAAAAAAAACCCCATTGCTTTGCGTAAAACATTTGAGATTATTTTTCAAGGTTTTCCCCGTTTCCGGGGCTGAATTTCTGTTTTTTAACGCCTGTAAGCAGGGCTGGGATTCAACCGGTTCGGCCCGGTTCGAGCAAATCGGATCCTAATTTTACATCTGGTTTGCCGAACCGGTAGTTGCAAGGACTGGCTGGCCCCGCCCACCCCTCCCTTCCCAGGAGTCTCCACACAGTTTGTTTTGGATGCCAAGTAAGTGCAGCACCTACGTGGAAGCTCTCGAAGGGCGAAAAACGGGCCTCCTGGAAGTACCAGAAGTCCAGAAATGGGCCTGTTTCTGACCTCCAGAGGGCCTCTGGAGCCCGGGGGAGGCTGTTTTCACCTGAGGCTCAAGGAAAGCCTCCAGAGCCTGGGGAGGGCGAACACACACCCCCTGCCATGGTGCAGGAGGCCGAGTAGGCCACGCCCACCATGGCCACGCCCACCCCAGCAACCGGGCGGAGAACCAGTTGCTAACATTTTTTGAATCCCACCCCTGCCTGTAACTCTTACTGCGTGGTTTCTCCACCGTCAATTCTGTGGCTCTTGGTGTGATTTCTCAAGATTTGTGACTCTTTCAAGTTCATTACGGTATACATTTTTGGCGGATTGCGGTGAGAGGAATTTATCTCGGGGGTGAGGGAGCCGACCCATTGCTGAGCGAGCAACGGAACAGGAAAAGCAGAAGAGGTCAGAGGAAATTAAATGCAAGAATATGTATGAGAGGCCCTAGCTGTGAGATAACAAAGCGAATACGATCCTCGGTTGTGTAAACAGAGGCGTAGAATCAAAATCACCGGAAGTATTACTACCCGCTTGATACAGCCTTAGTAAGGCCACTCCTGGAATGTTGCAACCAGTTTCGGTCACCACGTTACAAAAGAGATGTTGTTGAGACTTTGGAAAAAGGGCAGAGAAGAAGCAACTAAGATGATGAAAGGCACACGAAGCACACGAAGAACGGTTGCAGGATTTGGGTAGAAAAAGAAGGACTGAGGGGACATGTTATCAGTCTTCCAATATTTGAGGGGCTGCCCCAAAGAGGAAGGAGTCTACTACTTATTTTCCAAAGCTCCTGAAGGCAGGGCTTCAAGAAACCACTAATTGAGGAGAGAAGCAACGTGGAATGAAGGAGAAATCTCTTAACAATTAATCAGTGGAACAGCTCGCCACCAGAAGTGGTGGTTGTTCCATCTCTGGGGTTTTTTAAGAAGAGTGGACAGCCATTTGTCTGAAATGGTGTAGGGCAGTGATGGCTAACTTTTGTGCCATCGCGTGCCAAAAGCGGGGGGAATGTGTGTGTGTGTGGGGGTGTCGCACACGCGCGTGCCCACACCCATAATTCTATGCGCCTCACCCCCGTGTGGGTGTGGGTGCGACCCCTCCGCACTTCCCCCGCTTTTGGCCCGCGATGGCACGGTGGGCCCAGTAGGCCCGTTTTTCGCCCTCTCCAGGCTCCAGAGCCTTTCTAGGAGCCTGGGGAGGACAAAAACGGCCTTCCCCACCGCCTCCCACCGGAGGCCCTCTGGAGGCCAGAAACGGCTTGTTTGATGACTTCCAGTGGGCCCAGAAGGCCCGAAAATCAGCCGGAGCTGAGCTCGTGTGCATTATGGCCCTTTGAAGAATAGTTTTGTGTGGTTCAGGCATTGTGCGGCAACAATCTGACCTTACGAGAACCGAACGGCTCTGATGAATCGTTTGAGAAAGGAAGCAATTATCCTGTTCCCCAAATATTGCAAGAGTTGCACCCCAATTAAGGGGTGGCACGGCACGGCAGGCTGAAAACACAAGCAGGCCTTGGCTTGGCCTTCCTAGAACAGAAGCCGGCTGATCCAACCAGCCATTCCAGATCCACGTCAATTAATTCATAGATTAATTAATTCATCAGGTTCAAAGGCTGCTTCACGTTCCCGCAGAGAATGTGCAAATTAAATGTGCAAATGAAGAAAAATGTGGCACCTGTGATATATTTTTTTTATCTTGGAATACACACACACACACACACACACACACACACATATTTAAAAAATAGAACTTATTAGCAAATCTCTGCAAACAGAACAGGTGGGTAAAAACAGAAGCAGAGTTGAGGAAGGGCGTTATTTTCTTGTTTGGGGACAGGTAATCCTCGACTTATGACCCCAATTGAGCCCAAAAGTTATGTTGCTAAGGGAGACAGTTGTTAAGTGAATCAATGCAGGAGTTAGTTACACCGTTGTTAAGCGAAACCGGCTTTTGCATGACCGCCATCGTGGTCGTAAGCTGAGGACTGCCTGTACTCAGTTGGTAAGTGATTGCTGTGCTTGGATTTATTTAGTTAGGTTAATGCCCAAGGAGAAGAAAGAGAAAGAAAGAGAGAGAGAGATAAAAAGAAACAGAGAAAGAGAAAGAAAAGAGAGAGAAAGAGAGAGAGAGAAGGAGAGAGAGTGGGAAAGAGAAAGAAAGAGAGAAAGGGAAAGAAAGAGAGAGAGAAAGAGAAAGAAAGAGAGGGAGTGGGAAAGAGAAAGAAAGAGAGAAAGAGAGAGTGAAAAAGAGAAAGAGAAAGAAAAAAAGAAAGACAGACAAAAGAAGAGAAAGAAAAAGAAAAAGAAAGAAAGAAAAATAGAGAGAAAAAGAGAAAAAATAGAGAGAAAGAGAGAAAGAGAGAGAGTGGGAAAGAGAAAGAAAGAAAAAGAGAAAGAAAGCAAGCAAAAGAAGAGAGAGAAGGAGAAAGAAAAAGAAAAAGAAAGAGAGAAAGAAAAAGAGAGAGAGAGAAAAAGAGAAAAAAAAAAGAAAAAGAAAGAAAAAGACAAAGACAAAGACAAAAAAGAAGAAAGAAAGAAAGAAAAAGAGAGAGAGAGAAAGAAAAAGAAAGAGAGAGAGAGAAAAGAAAATGTAGAATACAGAAAATAAAATGGGATATTGAAGAAAGGAAACGATGAGGAGAATTGATCGAAGCTGCGAACCAAACAAGGCAAAGCATAAGAAAAGATAAATGAAATAATAATTGGCATTTTCCCTTCTTTAAGAAGGTTCTGGATCCCTCGTCAGAGCCTGGGAAGGGAGAGGAAGCCATTCACCACTCACCATGGCCGAGACGACGCGGGAAACCATGATCGGATCGGATCGGCTTGCGTGAGGCATCCCCCGCTTATCCAGCATGAACAAACAAGCATCCAGGATCCCGTGGTCAAACTGAGGGGAGACAAGGAGGAAGGTCATGGGAGCAGGGAACCGTGGCTTCCCAGGGCCTCTCTGGGCGATGACTGCACCATTGCGGTGGCCATTTTGACTTTTTTGACCACATTCCAGGGATTCCCCTGCCCTAATGAGAAATGTAGCCATGTCTGCATTGTTTTCAGTCTGTCTTCCACCCTCCCTCCCTTCTTATTCCCATTTCCTTCCTTCCTTCCTTTCCCTTCCCTTCCCTTCCCTTTCTTTTCCTTCCTTTTGTCCTTTCTGTTCTGTTCTGTTCTGTTCTTTTTTTTTTTTTTTTAATTTGATTTATATGCCGCCCTTCTCCGGAGACTCAGGGCGGCTTACAATGCGTTAAGCAATAGCCTTCATTCTTTTGTATGTTTTATACAAAGTCAGCTTATTGCCCCCACAAACTGGGTCCTCATTTCACCTACCTTAGAAAGGATGGAAGGCTGAGTCAACCTTGAGCCTTGGCGAGATTCGAACCAGCAGAAATCGCAGGCAGCTGTGTTAATTACAGGGTGCACTAAACCCCTGTACTATCAAGGCTCTTTCTGTTCTTTTCTGTTCTTTCCTTTCCTTTCCTTCTTTCCTCCTTTTTCTATCTTCCTTTCCTTTCCTTCTTTCCTCCTTTTTCTATCTTCCTTTCCTTTCCTTTCCTTTCCTTTCCTTTCCTTTCCTTTCCTTTCCTTTCCTTTCCTTCCCTCCCTTTTGTCTGTTCTGTTCTATTCTGTTCTGTTCTTTCCTTTCCTTTCCTTCTTTCCTCCTTTTTCTAAAGTCATCTAGTCCACCCCCCTACCTAAGCTGGAGATTCTACACCATTTCAGACAAATGGCTGTCCAATCTATCTTTCTTTCCTTCCTTCCTTCCTTCCTTCCTTCCTTCCTTCCTTCTTCCTTCCTTCCTTCCTTCCTTCCTTCCTTTCTTTCTTTCTTTCTTTCTTTCTTTCTTTTTTCTTTCTTTCTTTCTCTCTCTCTCTCTCTCTCTCTCTCTCTCTCCCTCCCTCTCCTCCCTCCCTCCTTCCTTCCTTCCTTCTCTTCCTTCCTTCCTTCCTTCCTTCCTCTTCCTTCCTTCCTTCCTTCCTTCCTTCCTTCCTTCCTTCCTTCCTTCCTTCTTTCTCTTTCTCTCTCTCATTCTCCCTCTTTAAAAATCACCTCGAACATCTTCTATTTCCTTGCTGGTTCCTTAGCCGTCTCACTTTTTCAACCTTAACAAAATAGCCGCCAATTTCTCGCACAGCAGCTCCTCACAGCAAAACGTGGCCCAAAACTAATCCGGGGTTTGTAGAGATACATACCTATAACTCCGCCAGAGTCCTTTCAAGGGCCATTTGCTCCCCAAATATTTCTCGGGCGAGAAGACGAAAAAGGTCACCTTACCTGCGCGTAGTTCCATGTTCGCTCGCCGATCTGACTTTCCGTCCCGTAATAAATTCTTCCCGTTTCGTTCAGCACGTATTCCTTTAGCCAGTCGCTCTGTTGCATGTGGACGGAATCCTCTAAAGGAGGGGAAAACGAGGAAAATTAAAGTAAATGTGGAAAACAAATCCAGCCGCTTCTATTTTCCTTTTAAAAAATATATTTTAAAGGGAGGAAGGAACCGTCTCAGCCACAAAAAAACACACCTTGGCGAACTCATCTACCTTTGAAAACGTCTTTTAGTTGGGGAAATTAAAATAAAATTTTTTGCTTCTTGCTGATCTTTTCTTGCAAATAAAAATGTTATTTATTGTGAATTTTTGTCCCTCGTGTGGGCCGCTTTGGGATCCCTCTGAAAAAAAAGTTAGCTTCCTAAAAATGGTTACAATAAAATACTATTTTTTAAAAAAATACGAATCGTTCTCGACCGTTCAAAGTTACGGCGGCACTGAAAAAAAGGGACTCATGACTTATTTTTCACACTTTCAATCGTAATCTCTAGGGTCACATGATCAAAATCCAGACGCTTGGGTAAGGGATTCATATTTATGATGGTCGCAGTGTCACGTGATCCCCTTTTGCAAAGGTCACATGATCCCCTTTTGCAGAGGGGGATTCAGCCGGTTCGGACGCTGCCCTTTTGCGACCTTCCAACAAGCAACGTCGATGGGGGAAGTAGGATTTGCTTAATGACCGTCTGACTAACTTAAGAAGGTCGATGATTCTCTGAACAACAGTGTCAAGAAAAGTCGTAAAATGGGGCGAAACTCACTGAATGACACACATTTTGGGCTCAGTTATGGTCATACGTTGAGGACTTTCTGTATTTCCTTGAAAAAAAAAACCTTTTCCGAGATAGACGAGCAGGGCAAAACTCACTAAATGGGTCACATGATCAAAATCCAGACGCTTGGGTAATGGACTCATATTTATGACGGTCGCAGTGTCACGTGATCCCCTTTTGCAGAAGTCACGTGATACCTTTTGCAGAGGTGGATTCAGCCGGTTCGGACGCTGCCCTTTTGCGACCTTCCAACAAGCAACGTTAATGGGGGAAGCTAGATTCGCTTAACGACCGTTTGACTAACTTAAGAAGGTCGGTGATTCTCTGAACAACAGTGTCAAGAAAAGTCGTAAAATGGGGCAAAACTCACTGAACGACACATATTTTGGGCTCAGTTACGGTCGTACATTGAGGACTTTCTGTATTTCCTTGGGAAAAAAAAAATCTTTTCCGAGATAGACGAGCGGGGCAAAACTCACTGAATGACACATATTTTGGGCTGTTATGGTCGTACGTTGAGGACTTTCGATATTTCCTTGAGGGAAAAAAAAAAAACTTTTCAGAGATAGACGAGCAAATAATGACCTGGAGGTCATTTCCTGAGGTTTGATCAAAATAAAAAACAGATCAAAAGGTTTTATCTTTCTTTTCCTTCCTGACAGCTCTGAGAAAACAATACCTATTTAGGGTGTGTGTTTGTGTGTTTGTGTTTGTGTGAGTCCTCGTTTTTCCTTTTTAAAAAAATGTTCCCTTCTGTGTGCCAAGCTAAAGATTTATTTCCTTTGGTCTTTGTCCTTCGACGAATAGCAGGGAGAAATGTTTTTTTTTCGCCGTCTCTCCTCAGCCTTCCCTGCAGTTCAGGAAGGAAAGAGGAACAGGGGTGTGGGAGGTGTGATACAATTCCTAAATTTTTGCATATAGAACAACTACCACGCCACACCTGCCCATTTCCTTCCAGAAGGTTCCAAAGTCAGACATATTGACAAAGACGGGAATCGGGGAAATTCCCATTTTCTCCCCCCCCCTTAAGAAAGGAGCCACGTCAAACTGAACTCCGATCTCTTAAGAAATACCTTCAAATGCAAAAATAAACCCATTTACGAGTCGTCCTCGACTTACGACAATTGAGCCCCAAATTTCTGTTCCTAAGCAAGCCATTGATGGAGGGGCTTTTGCTCGTTTTACGACCTTGTTTGCCACAGCTGCAAAGTGCTGTTGGGAAGCGAGCCACACGGTCGTTAAGCGAAACCAGCTCCCCCACTGATTTTGCTTGCCAGAAAGTCGCCAGAGGGAATCGCGTGACCTGGAGACGCTGTGACCGTCATAAATACGAATCCGTTGCCGAGCGTCTGAATTCTGAAGACGTGATCGCGGGGAATACTGCGACGGTTGTAAGGGTGAAAAACCGGTCCTAAGTCCCCTTTTTTCCGGTGCCGTTGTAACTTCAAATGGTCACTAAACGAATGGTCGTAAGTCAAGGACGATGTATAAAGCGAAACTTAAATCAATCTTTAAAATAGCACTGATCTATTTGGGGTTGACTTATGATGACAATTTGAGCCCCAAATTTTTGTTCCTAAGCGAGACATTGGCGAAGGGAGTTTTGCCCGTTTTACGACCTTGCTTGCCGCAGCTGTGAAGTGAATCACTGCCTTTGGGAAGCGAGTCAAACGGTCATTAAGTGAATCCAGCTTCCCCACTGATTTGGCTTGCCAGAAGGTCGCCAGAGGGGATCGCATGACCTGGAGCCACTGTAACCGTCATAAATACGAAACCGTTGCCGAGCGTCTGAATTCTGATCACGTGACTGCGGAGAATATTGCGACGGCCGTAAGGCTGAAAAACGGTCCTAGGTCCCTTTTTTCAGTGACATTGTAACTTCGAACGGCCACTAAACGAACAGTCGTAAGTCAAGGATGATTTATAAAGCGAAACTTAAATCAATCCTTAAAAATAGGACCCCTCTGTTTGGGTGTCATCCATTTTGAAAATAAAAAAAAACGCTCCGTTTTCGATAACCCGGGTTTAATATGTTGTGAGAACGCAGCTGGTTTGTCGGAAGCCAAAAAAAATTCTAGTTTTGATAAAAAAAACCGGTTTGGGGTGTGGCGAAAAGGAAGTGGAGGTGGGGGGGAGAAACCGGGCAGAAAGGACAAATAATGAATTTATTATTTTGTCGTTTTGGTTCTTCCTTTCTTCTCTTCTTCTTCTTTCTCAAAGTGTCTCGGCTACGCAATCAAGGCTCCATCATTCCCACGCCCTGCTGACTCGGGCAGAAAATTAAGCCAGCGCCTTTCGCACCGAGGTCAGGAGGAGGGTGTGTTGTGGCGTGGAGATTTAGAGATTTAGATTGTGTGTTGTGCATCTTTCATGACAATCGTGGGAAAAAAAAACCAAGCATGGCAACTTCTAAGAGATTGGACAAAGGTCGGCGGCCATTTTCTCACGGATTTTTAGACGTTAAAAACCCAGCCATCGATGTAGGAAACGGCAGTTGGTCCTCGCCCTTACCACCACAACTGAGGACAGGGTGTGTGTCATTAAGCGAGGCAGGGATTGCGCGATGCCCAATGAGATTGTCCAATGTCGAATGGCCCAATGTCCCAATGTCCAAGAGATTGGACAAAGGTCGGCGGCCATTTTCTCACGGATTTTTAGACGTTAAAAACCCAGCCATCGACGTGGGAAACGGCAGTTGGTCCTCGCCCTTACGACCACAACTGAGGACAGGGTGTGTGTCGTTAAGCGAGGCAGGGATTGCGCGATGCACAACTTTTTCTGCTACGATGGGTAAACCAAGTGCAGTCGTTAAGTGAAGCTGGCTGCCCCGTTGACTTCCTTTCTTTGCCGGAAGCCGGCTGGGAAGGTCGCACATGGGGATTGCGCGACGCAGCAACCCGTTGTAAATAGAGGAGGGGTGCCAAGTGTCTGGAGTTCGATGGCGTTAACTGAGGGGATCTTGCAACGGTCGTAAGGGTGAGGACTGTGGAAACTTTGGTCACGAAACGAAGGGCTTTACGTCAAGGACTGTGATACAATATATTTATCTAATATACGTAAAACCTTTAAGGCAACTTAAATGTGACTGTTGTGATTGATTTTGTGTGTTGTTACTCACAGAAAGAGCACATTTGACCAATTTGAGGTAATTCACCCAGCTTTGGGAAGAACTGCTATAAATTATTATTAAGAAAAAGTTCAAAGATGTGAATGAATGATTCCTTTCTTCCATCCATCCATCCATCCATCCATCCATCCATCCTTCCTTTCATCCATCTCTCTCTCCTTCCTTCCTTCCATCCATATCTCCTTTCTTTCTTCCTTCCTTCCCTCCCTCCCTTCCATCCATCTCTCTCTCCTTCCTTCCCTTCCTTCCTTTCATCCATCCATCTTCCTTCCTTCCCTTCCTTTCTTTCATCCATCCATCTCTCCTTCCTTCCTTCCTTTCATCCATTCATCTCTCCCTCCCTTCCCTCCCTCCCTCTCCTTCCTTCCCTTCCTTCCTTTCATCCATCCATCTCTCCTTTCTTCCCTTCCTTCCTTCCTTTCATCCATCCATCTCTCCTCCCTCCCTTCCTTCCTTCCTTCCATCCATCAATCCATCCATCTCTCTTTCCTTCCTTCCTTCCTTCCTTCCTTCCTTCCTTCCTTCCTTCCTTCCTTCCTTCCTTCCTTCCTTCCATCCATCTCTTTCCTTCCTTCCTTCTTTTCATCTGCCTGCTTTCTTTCCTTCATTCCTTCGTTCCTTTCTTCCATCCATCCATCCATCCATCTCTTTCCTTCCTTCCTTCCTTCTTTCCATCTGCCTGCTTTCCTTCCTTCCTTCCTTCCTTCCTTCCTTCCTTCCTTCCTTCCTTCCTTCCTTTCCTCTCTTTCCTCCTTCCTCCTTCCTTTTCCTTCCTTCCTTCCTTCCTTCCTTCCTTCCTTCCTTCCTTCCTTCCATCCATCTCTCTCTCCTCCCTCCCTCCCTCCCTTCTAATCCATCCATCCATTCCTTTCTCCCTCCCTCCCTCCCTCCCAAGTGATTGTCCTCTCTAAAATAAAATCACAGGGCCCCTCTTTAATTGATAATCTAAGCAGATCGATAATAGATACGACACCCCAATCAAAGGTTGACTCCATCAGCCTTCCAGACCTCACGCTATTCCCCTCCCAGAAGTCCCCAGTCATCCTAACAAGGGAATTCTGGGAGCTGAGTTCCCAATTTAGCTGCAAAAGGTCCCCTTGAGCAAAGCCAGGCTGCCAATTCTGGACTTCCTCCTCCTCCCCTCTGTTTCTCTCGCCCGCTTATTCCTCCCCACAACTTACCTGGGCACCAGGGGTTGAAGAGGATGTACACCTCGTTGTTGGGGTCGAAGGGCGCGGCGTACTCGCCCGCCTTGCTTCGGGTCTTCACGCTGAACTGGTACTTGCCGATCACCGCTCTGGGCGAGGGGCAAACTCGGATAGACATGGTGTCGTCGTCCGAGCTGGTCATTTCCGCCGACCAGCCCATGCCGGGCATGGAACCGCCGACGGGTACCAGAATGTGGGTGCCCTTCGAGGCTTGTGGGTTGGGGCCTGCCGGAGGGAGAAAACACGGGATGAAAAATTAATAATTGTAATTTTGTAATTAACAGAATTAATGACAGGGAGGTACCGATAGTCATAGACGCCCGGTGTGCCGATGCCAAACAACCGGAGCGCCATTTGAACAACATCGGAATTGACAAATTCCCCATCGGTCAATTGCGAAAGGCAGCTCGATTTGGACCGGCTTAAATCCTACCCGAAAATCTTTTTTTTTTTTTTTTTACACCATTTAACATCCACATCTGCCTTATCTTCAGGTCCTTGAGAAGGACTGAAGAGGTGGACCAAACTTCTAGATCTCGTCTCTAGAACATCTGGCTGACTCTGCAACCCACCCTAACAAGGTCTTACATGTCTATTTAAAGCTGTACGTACTTTTAGATCTACAAATTACACAAATTTATTACATTTATTTGACTATTGAAAGGGTAGAGGCATTTGTTTTGCTGGGAGTTAGGGTGGAGGGGTGGCCGCCATCTTGATTCTTTTGACCATACCCTGCCGTGAACTTGTGGTTGAACTATAGATCGTGAAGCGTTTGAATTTGGATTGCGTCACCGCGGGGATGTTGCGACGGTCGTTAAGTGTGAAAAAAAGTCCCTCAGCCTCTTTTTTTCGGTACCGTTGTAACTCTGAACTGTCACTATAAAATGAAACTTAATCGATCCTTAAAATAGGACTGATCTGTTCGGGCGTCGGCCATGTTGGAAATACAAGCATCCTGTTTGGATAAACCTTGGTTTCATGTGTTGTGTGAAACAACAGCCGGGTTGTCTGAAGCCAACTCTCACACCCAACTGTACGGCCCCAAAACAGACATTTTATCAAGCGGAGCATGGAGATTTGGCTTGGCGTTAAGCCTCAGTTTGCTAGGGAGGATTAGATAAGGAGCTTGAGAACACCCTGTGCCCGGATGGTGGGAACGGGGCCTGCCAAAATATTCATGTTCCAAGAGATAATGTGAATTCTCCAGATTCTACCACTTGCTTCTTCTCCCTTGAATAAAATCTAAAACCAATGCAAGGGAATTTACAACCGCCCAGCCCAACTCAGCTCGCTTCCTCTGCCTTTAACCGCAACTCGATCGGCAGGATAAACCATGGTTTAGTAGTGGCTCAGGCAGCAATTTATGGTTTGCAACCGCGAGCAAAACTTACATTCCTTATTTCGGGGGAGGTAACAGGTCCCTATCAGAGGCCTCGCTTTCTGGCTGACAGTGGGCCGTCAGCCAGACGTACAACCAGTGGTGGGATTCTACTGGTTCGGACCGGTTCGGGCGAACTGATAGCTCTGACGATCAGCTGGGAGCAAACCGGTTCGCCCCGTGCAAATCATGCGATCACCGAACCGGCTGTTAAACCGGGAGGATCCCACCACTGCGTACAACTACAATGGAATTCAACATTTGTGAGGCTGTGACGGTTGTTGAGGGAGTTTGGTTCATTTTTATGTTGTGGTTATTAAGTGAATCGGTGCAGTTGTTACATGAGTCACGCAGGTTGTTAAGTGAATCCGGCTCCCCCCCCCCCGATTTTGCTCGTCAGAAGATCCTAAAAGGGGATCACACTGCAACCGTCGTAAGTACATGCCAGTTGCCAAGCATTTCAATTAGTTGTAAGTGTGAAAAATGGTCCCAAGTCACTTTTTTTTCAGTGCCGTTGTAACTTTGAACAGTCACTAAACAAATGGGTGTAAGTTGAGCACTACCTGTAAAGATTGCAATAGGAGGGGAAAAAAATAAACCAATCAAAGGATTTTCTTGACTTTAGGACAGTGTCTTCCAACCTCGGCAACTTTAAGACAGGTGGACTTCGACTCCCAGAATTCTCATGCTGATCCTTTAAGACGGATGGACTTCAACTCCCAGAATTCTCATGCTGGTTCTTTAAGACAGATGGACTTCAACTCCCAGAATTCTCGTGCTGGTTCTTTAAGACAGGTGGACTTCAACTCCCAGAATTCTCGTTCTGGTCCTTTAAGATGGGTGGACTTCAACTCCCAGAATTCTCGTTCTGGTCCTTTAAGACAGGTGGACTTCAACTCCAAGAATTCTCGTGCTGATTCTTTAAGATGGATGGACTTCAACTCCCAGAATTCTCATGCTGGTTCTTTAAGATGGGTGGACTTCAACTCCCAGAATTCTCGTGCTGGTCCTTTAAGATGGCCTGACTTCAACTCCCAGAATTCTCGTTCTGGTCCTTTAAGACAGGTGGACTTCAACTCCCAGAATTCTTGTGTTGGTCCTTTAAGACAGGTGGACTTCGACTCCCAGAATTCTCGTGCTGATCCTTTAACATAAGTGGACTTCAACTCCCAGAATTCTCATGCTGGTCCTTTAAGATGGATGGACTTCAACTCCCAGAATTCCAATACTGGTTCTTTAAGACAGGTGGACTTCAACTCCCAGAATTCCCCAGCCGACATAAATCTACCCGTCTTAAAAATTGCTCAACACTGCTGAGAAGGGGATTTACCAGGCTTAGAACAAAAATGAAAAAAACACATTTTTATTTTCAACCTCTAATGTTCTGTTCCTTCTCTATTATTTGGAGTTGCAGGTTAAGGCAAGCAGGGGAAAAAAAACCTGTTCTCCAGGTGTGATTTTTTTTTCCTCAGGTAACAGGGGCAGCCAAGGTGAAGGTTGGAGGCTGGGTTTTCTAGCTGTGGATGGAAGGATTGTCCTCACGAATTTGAGAAATGTTGGACTAAAGGTAAAGGTTCCCCTCGCACATATGTGCTAGTCGTTCCTGACTCTAGGGGGCGGTGCTCATCTCCGTTTCAAAGCCGAAGAGCCAGCGCTGTCCGAAGACGTCTCCGTGGTCATGCGGCCGGCATGACGCGACGCCGAAGGCGCACAGAACGCTGTTCCCTTCCCACCAAAGGTGGCCCCTATTTTTTTCTACTTGCATTTTTTACGGGGTTTCGAACAGCTAGATTGGCAGAAGCTGGGACAAGTGACGGGAGCTCGCCCCGTTACGCGGCGCTAGGGATTTGAACCACTGAACTGCCGACTTTTCGATTGACAAGCTCAGCGTCTTAGCCGCTGAGCCACCGCGTCCCACCAATGTGGGACTACGTTTCCCATAATTGGATAAGCGTGGCTGTACTGGCTCAGGAGCATGGGTCTGGGATTCAGCACACCCGGAGGGCAGGTGTGAATAAATTATTTTGTAGACCAGGAGTTTATAAACGTGGTGATTTTAAGGCCTGGGGACTTCAACTCCCAGAATTCTCCAGGCCAGCTCTTTTTTTTTTCCAACTTTGCTGAAGTCAAGATATATTATGTTTACCGCATTCCCACCATCTATTAAGAAAGTTAAAAACATGGGATAAAGTAATCCAGTCGCATTTATTCTCATCCCATTCATGCTGGGAAATCCTTTGCTGGCTGGGGAATTCAAGTCCACAAGTCTTAAAAGTCGCCAAGCCTGCTTGCAGGCAGAAATGCAACCGGTGCAGTTTTAATTCGGCAGAAAGTGGAGAGGTGATGTCAGACTTAGATCAACCTGCCACCGGTTTGGGAAAGTTGAAAATGGAGAATTATCCCAAGGGCGGGGGGGGGAAAGGAAAATAACACATTATGCTTTCAGTTTGGAACTCAGCACGCTGTAAAAATTTGAAATACAGCAAAGATGTCCGTGAAAAAAGCTTGTGGCTCTTTTCAGATACTCTGATTTTTTTTGCCACGGAATTGCCCCAGTCCTCACCTTACAACGTTTAGTGACCGTACCATACGACGATTTAGGATTGACGAAGCCGAGTTGCAGAGATTGAAGATGAACAAAAAAAATCTGCCTTCAGTAACCGATGGAACTCCCTGCCACAAGATGAGGCGACGGTGATAAGCTTAATTTGGTTTGCAGAATCAAATCGGGTGAAGCGATAGATGGAAAGGCACCGGATACTTTTCATCTAATCCTGTGGTTTCTCAACCTTAACATGGGTGGATTTCAACTCCCAGAATTCCCCAGCCAGCTGGGGAATTCTGGGAGTTGAAGTCCACCCATCTTAAAGGGGCCACGGCTGAAAAAACGCAAACTCAGCTGCTGTACAGAGTTTTTTTGCATCACAATCTGATATCTCTTGTTTGTTTTGTTGCTATGTTTATACGATTGCATCTACCATGCCTCTGTTCCCTGCTAATTTTGGGCGTTGTGCCCGATGCAGCAATATTTTTATGCTGCAATAATTTATTGCAATCATTTTATTGTGCCATGTTCCCTCCTGTGGGGTGTGCCCAGTTTAGGTCATCCGTTTTATTCTCAAAGAGAGAGGCTTCCTGCGCCAAGTTCCCCCTCGGAGACGGTCCCCCCGTAGAAGTTGCACTTCCTGGCGGGGTAGAGGGGAAGACCAACAGCGTACACTCACGGTTCTTACTGGTAGACAGACTCCTCGGTTTACAACAATTAATTTAGCGTCCGTTCGAAAAAGGGAGGTAAGGACCGTTTTTCACACTTTTAAAGACCTTTGCAGTAGCCAGGAGTGGGATTCAGCCGGTTTGGACGAAACGGATGTAAATTTTAATCTGGTTCGCCGAACCGGTAGTTGCAGGGACCGGCTGAGCCCGCCCAACCTGCCCCGCCCCTCCCAGGAGTCTCCATGCAGCCCATTTTGGATGCCAGGTAAGTGCAGGGCCCACAAAGAGGCTCTGGGTGGGTGAAAACGGGCCTCTGGAAGTCTGGAAACGGGCCAGTTTCCGGCCTCCAGAGGGCCTCCGGAGCCTGGGGAGGCTGTTTTCGCCCTCCCAGAGGCCCGAGGAAAGCCTCTGGAGTCTGGGGAGGGCGAAAACGTCCGAGGAGGAGGCCGAGTAGGCCACACCCACCATGGCCACGCCCATCCAGAAAACAAGCAGAGAACCAGTTGCTAAAATTTCTGAATCCCATCCCTGGCACTCGCCCCCAAATCACGTGATTAAAATTCGCTTGGCAACCGACTCATATTTATGTCCCCGGGGTCACGCGATCTCCTCATGCGACCTTCTCCGAAAG